GATGTGCTTTCCTCTACTTTATGGTACTATATAACTGCAAATACCATGGTTGTTTTGGAAACCATGTGAAATGGATAACTTCAGCAATATACCTTCTCAAAAATGACTGAAATATCCTTTTATCTTCTTTTCTATCTTTTTGACTAGTATTGTTACTGCAAAAATTCAAACTGATGAGTCTATTTACTTCAGTGAATCCCGTATTTCCATTTCCATACTGATTCTCCTCACACACACACACAAATGTACCCTTCCTGTATTCATCCATCTAATCAGTTTTCTGCAACGCCTTGTGTTGACACCAATATCTAATGGTGAGTTTTGTGGATTGCTGTTTTGAATATATAAACATTTTGACACATCTCTCAGAAAGACAGTGTTTATCAGCAACAACTCTGCGATATGCTACCACGTCCTATTTAGATTTCTTCCCTCTACATACTGAACTGTAAGAGAACAAATGTCACTCCTACTGCAAAATAATTTTAAATCCTTTGTTGTGGGACCAATCTGGCTATACACAAAATTCAGATAACTCTACATCTTATAATTGCAACTCAGATCAAAATTGGCATGACTTACAAACATTTTAAGAAAGCTTAATCTTAAAATTTTTCTTCATTTCTTGATGTAAAACTTCTCTTGGACCGTCTCACCAGTTTACGTAATTTCTTTCCTCTGTTTTCATATTGTAAAAAAAAAAAAAAACACCCAAAAAAACCCAACCATGGTCGTTGCCAAAAACATTAAGGCAATGGTTTACAAACATCAGTGACAGATATAGGATTTAGAAATTAACAGATTATTTACTTTTTTTTTTTTCCAAAATACTTATGCATTCTGCAGACACCAATCTACACCAGTATCCACAGAACTATAGCACACTAAGCGAATCAGTACAGGTTTTAAAAGCATGCAAATCATAGCCTGTGAACACAGAGTATAACATCACCCTGAGAGAACCAGAGTCTACCCAGATTTATTCTACTTTAACCTACGGGCACATGTGATGCCAAAATCTACTTGCTAGCATGTGATCAACTGTACTGGTGTTTTGTATGAAATAAATAAATGGACTAACTTAATTAACACACTTCCCAAAAATAGAAAAGAGTATCCAAGCTTGAACTAGTAAGCTTTAATAAAGATCTGAGTTTCGCACAGCTTTCACAGATCAAGTGGACTACAAAAATTGATGATTCACTTATTACTGATGTGGGCTTCAGCATATCTGACTGGACACAGTTTCCCTCAGCTCTTATTACCTGTGAAAGAACCAATGTTTTTCATTCCAATTTGAGGAAGAACCTGCATTGTACCATCTTTAGGCATCTATATGATTTTTCTTTTTATTTTGTGATTTTAATGCTGTTTACATAAAGATAAATGCATTTATGTAATTTTCAACTATGCTTAAAGATTGTTACAGATGCAAAAAGAAAAGTGGCACAATTTAACCTTAAGGTGGCAGAGCCAGTAACTTGACATTGCAATTACAATTTCTCAGACTTGAAGGAAAGTAAACCATCTCCACATGCTGACACCATGAGAAAGACTAGCAAAGGCAACTGCAGGCACAAAATTAGCCACACCACCTGAAAATGTATCTGATGCTATCCTATTTTTATCTACTTTCTGGTGCACTTGATGCAGGTATCTGCAATGCCTCAATAAAAACTCTTAGTGTGTTTTCTAATTATGTCAAAAATATAACTGTTGAGCAATGCTTTTCTTCCTCACAGACATGTACCGTACAACTATCCACAGTATTCTCTATTGTTCCAGGATATGAATGATGATTACCTATCTAATGACAAATAGCAGTATTTCCACTTCATTAAAAGGGCCTTTCAATAACAGGCTCTTAATCAGTATGATTAACAAGGAACCTAAAGGCCTCATCAGATCAAGGGAAAGTACTGCATTATAAAAACAAAGGTCCTAAATTGTAAATTTCAGAAAACTGTGATAAGCTGGCTAAGGAGTTCAGAATCTCTTCTTGTCTTATTATCCCTAGTATTGATTGAAGTCTCTCCACCTTGAAATTGTTGGTGAGGACAAATCTATTGAGTCTCATTAAATCCAGCACAGGAATGAAGTCCCCAGAGCATTTGGGACCACTACACATTTTAGAAAAGTATTCCTTATCCTTGAGAATGAGAGCTATAGCTGCAATATGAAACAGACACCAATTTGTTTCCATAAATGCTCTAATATAAAGGAGTTATTGCAGAACGCAGCACCCTTAAAAATTGTACTTAAAGAAAAAAAAGGTAGCAGCATGTCAAGCCAACACAACTTGATAATACAGATTACAGATCATCACATGTGCACGCTGCCCACTACAATTAGACTTGGAAGAGATTTTGTGGTCCACAACGGATTACGCATAATCCAGTGCTAATTCATAACCTTGATCTGGTTTATCAGAAACATTTTTTTCTTTTATTCCATCTACTGTTTCATACTACACAGTAACATCAGCACAAAGAACAGTTCTTCCCAAACTGCACACTGTTAAGATGAACTTGGAATATGTGAGCCAACCACACTGCCTGAGCTATAGCATATGCTGCCTATCTGACTACTAACAGAGAGGTCATTGATCTTGCTGTAAGGGACAATATATCATAGGATGTACACACTGATAGGCTCCATGCCATTTGGAGCAGTAGGAAAATATTCCTTTGTGAATATGGCTATGGAATAGCTGACACGTCCTTATCTAGCTGTTGCAGCCTGCATATTATTAATGCAAGGAAGACAAAGAGAACATAGGTTTGTCTGCAATAGCTTGCCTTTCTCATTCAAGGAAAACATAGGCATTCATATTATTTTTATATATGCTGAATTTTCCAAAGGCTGCTATGACTTCAAGTAGCACAGTGAATTTTGTGATGTGGAAAAGGCTTTGAACCAACTACAGTTGGCTATTTTACAGAGTTCTTCTAATCAGAAGTATAGAGCAGGATTGCCATGATAAAGTGTTCCTTTTGCTCCCCAAAGTACTCTCAACAAAATTTGCCACAAACATTATTAGATCTAGTTCATTCTGACTTAGGGAACGTACTTTTTTTTTTGGTTGGTTGGGTTTTTATTATAAACCCAAAGAGAACTGATTTTTTCCAGGTGCATTAGACATTTTGATATTTTACTAAAATGCAGCTTACCAGTTCCCAATTAGTAATTTGTCAGAATATGCAAGTTGGCTTTTCATGGTTTAAGTGGCAAGCCTTGCTCCTCTATGCTGGAAAATTATTTAACACAATGCTTCCAAACCAGCAAATTCTAGGGTCACTTGTGAGCTGAAGTATTTGGCAGCTAGCAAAAAACCCCACAACATTCTAGTTCCTGTGGTATGATCAGCTAAGCAGCAGTCTCAAGTCCTGCTAAGACAGACCAAGAAGTGCAAACCAGCTTTCTGAAGCAATCCTGAATTTTAAGCCAAGCCCAGTTTAGAAGCAGCTTGCCCCTACAGCTATATAATTATACCCATCAATTTTCCATAATACATAAGTAACATAATAGCAAAATTATTTTTCACAGCAACAGTTAAAGTCTTTCTCAAACTGAAGTGCGTAATAGTGTCCAAATCACTATCATGCAAGACCAAGTGACCTTTATGACAAGTTCTATCATGCTTTAAAGCAGTCTCGCAAAGACCCAGCTTTATTTTCTTCCATAAGTTCTAGAACTATTCTGGAAGAATATTGTCTTATAAACACTGATGACGTGAGTTCATACTAACTTCATGTGTGCCTTTTTTTTCCTGAGTGACTCAAAGGACCCGTTCAACACCTATAGAATTGACTGGAGAATGAAAAAATGAAAGAAATAGCAACTTCTTATACCTACTTTTTAATCTGTTTAATTTAACTCTATGATTCACTTTGTCTTGACCCAGACAGCTGCAACTCCTCCTGTCTTGTACATGTTCTGAACAACTTTGACGGAAGTCTACATCTAGCTTGGCTAGACTACTACTTTAGTGAATAAAAGACCTTGAGTCTATCATCGCTGCAGTCAGTGATAATAAACTCGTGCAGAGTTAAGTACATAAGAATGTGCTAGGCACTATCTGCTATAAAACATTAACCAAACACATCTCTAGAAACCCAGGACTGATTCTAGCTTGACTTAGGCCCAGATTCACAATTTTATCACTAACTGTGTACTTTGTAAGACAATAAAGGGAAAGACCTGCTTTATGAAAAAAACACTGGCAGTACACAATTTGACAAAACAGTTCCAAGATCGGTAGAAATCATGTGAAAGTTGTGTATACACTTCTTCCCTGACTTCTTCCTTCAACGTTTCTCAAAAGGAAGGAAACATATCCTCTGTACTTCTTACAGACTAAAAAACATGTCTGTATAATTTTTTTACACTCTTCTAAGTAGTGCACATGTGACAGCTGTTCAGGGTTAGCACTTTTGCTGGCATTCATCAAAAAATATGAACCTGTTCTGTAAATGTAAAGGTTAATTTTTTTTAATTAGTTAGTCATTTGGTAAGCTATTATGGCAACAATTCTTCCAGTTAATTTTGACAGAGTAGGTTTTTGCATCTTAAACCAGTAAGATTGTTTGACTTTCACACAAACACATTATTTAAAAGTGAAATTAATTTCTACTCCTAAATTATCAAAAACAAATTGAGGAATTTAGTAATTAAAAGCTCCAGGAGAAGAAGAAGAAAATCAAAAGTAACACAAAATTGCACAAAGAAATTTATATGCGTGGCAATTCACTCTTGTTTTTCTTCAGATGCAACTAAATGTTAATTTTTAAGCTCCTCAGTTCAAAGTAAGCAAGAGGCCATATATACTGGGATGTAACTAGGCCAATAAACTGTTACGCTGCCAACCTTATTTGGGTAACAATAAAGATCCAGATACCTAAAGGATGCAACACAACACAGTGCTTTGATTACTCTGTCCACTGATAGTGTACAGATGGATACTAAAATGAACACTGTGATCATAAAGCAGAATGACATACTTCTTGATATGATGTTGCTTCAGCTGTGTGAGCATCTTCTTTGTCTTTCAGTCTTTTCTGTGCCTCAGTATTGAAAGCCTGAAGCTGCTTTATCAGCTCAGCCTGCTGTGCTCTATGTTCAGTGTTTAGTCTGTAAAGATTCTGCAGTTCCTGCAACTCTTTCCTGTGCAAAACAAGCAATAAGGAGAAATTAAGAAAAAGAACAACAATGACCTCCATTAAACAAGAGTGTTCAAATAATTTTATTGTAGATAATGAGCTTCCTATTTTAATTTATTTTTCCATCAATTGTCTTACAAACACTAGAAGTTACATATAAAATATTTATCACATACTTTTGTGCAATATCTACAAACCAGTTAAGTTTCAAAGTGGAATGCCTTTCAATTTCCCTCTAATGCTCTAACTGCTCAAAAATAAATGGATTTTCACTACTGAATCAACACTTTCTAATCAATATTCAGTTAACTCTTTAGCAGTGTCAAAATGTAAAATATTAAATTTTACACTCCATGTGCTCTAAAGTTGTTTGGATTTTTTAACTAGAATCATCAGGAAAAAAGTTTTCTTAACTTGCAGAGTATGGGCAATGCAAATCTATTCTGAAATGCATCTGCTCCCTAGACACACAAAGTATGTCTGCTGACATACTTCAGCAGATACAGGCCCAGCATATGACAACAACCATAAGCAAAATAAATAAACTTTGGAGTGTATTCTATAACATTACAAATACAAAAGCTCTATTAGAACAACATTAGGAATCGTGTTGTAATGCAGCCATAGGATAGATCTAGTACAATCAATCTGCTTGAGAATTTCACTGTTCTGCTGATAGATCTTATATATTAGGGTAGAAACAAAGATCAGTAACTCTTACTTATTATAAACCAAGATTAAAAACTTGGAATATTTTCTGTAACACCTGTTAAAAGTTCAGGTGACACCATTAATCCCTTTTTATATATTTTCTACTTAATTCCATATTTAATTCACAAGCACATACCACACCAGTATTACACAGAGATACAGAAATATAAGTTTATCACACCAACTAGTTTTCTTCTTCCTTTCTCAAAGAACTTTCTGGGTGACCTCCAACACAAATGGGACTTAACCATGCCTACAATTATCATTAACAACAAGAGTAATCATTAGACTTTGAAAGCACTGCTGGATATGTCCAAAGACTAGCGTACAAAAGGTAAGCAGCAATACCAACTTCATTGTGTTTTCCTGAGAAACCGCAGAATGATGAAGAAACCATTTCAAGGGAACATTCAGAAAAACACTTCTTAAAACCTCTGCCCCTACTTAATACGTTGACTGTTCACTAAAGGTACAACAGTAATTATATAAAAATTGAAATTACACATGCCACAGCCTGACAACTTCATTCTGTTGAAAAAGCACCATTTAATAAAGCTTGTAAACAGGCCAATACAGAAGAACATTTAAGGACATGCTTACTTAACAGTATTTAAGTCCTGCTGTTCTCAACAAGATGTAAAGTAGCTCCTCAAAATGAACAACAGCAGAGGTACATTAAGGACTCTTTATGTAACAAAACCAAAGTACAACTGCAGTATGTACTACCTTAATGCTGCTCACAAGCACAGCAGCAGAAATAAGGACGCAGTGACACATTAGCACTTTCCAACAGCCTGTAAAACACGCTTCCAAACAAGCGCTTGCTTCATTCCCTGACTGTGAGTACACAATATAAAATGACACATCTTTGTACTGCAGTTAAAACAGAGATTATATTAATTTTCCACAGATTCTCCCATCAGATTTTAATTTTGCTGGGGAAGGGAAAAACATGGGATAACAGAATCCTCAGATACTGCTGGACTGCACTTTAAACTGTATGCAAGCATCAGTGCAGTCATCTGCACCTGTCACCTGAGAACACGCATACTGCGTGTTCTCTCATAGTCTGCCCACCAAGCGTATTAAGGTCAACGGGAACCTCTTCTGTTGACTGTTACCAGGCTTTGACTCACAGCCTAAAGGGCAGGGGGTGGGGTAGAAGCTAAACCTTGCAGCCATCCAAGAACTTCCGCATAGCCCCAACACAGGTTAACATGTTTGCTCGTTTAACTCAAGGATTTTTAAATATAAGAAAACTCAATCACTGTTCCATTTACACCACATTTCAAAAATCAAGCTTTATTTCTTCACACACATATCCTAACTTGCTTTATTTGAGTAAAATGTTATAGAAAATAGTTGCAATCTGAAAAATTCTTGAGACATGGAAATAGACAACTACTGTATTTTAACTAAATTAAATACACTATGCATTACAACTGCTTTTACCCTTTTTTATGTGAATGAGACTTTTTACATTTTAAATCCACAAGGGAAACTTTTTATTTCATTTTTACACAGGAATGAGGAAGTGATGCTCAATCTTATTAGAAATAATTCAGCACCAATGGTGCAACACAAATAAATTCACAGAATGATATCACTTTTGATAACAGACAGGCCAACTTGGTGAAGGAAGCTTTAATCTAGGGATGGTAGGGAACAGAGATGTTTGACCAAGTAACAAGGGAGGAAGGTGTGGCCTGGGCTGGCAAGCAAAGGGCACAGGTTTTTGCAGACAAGAAAGCCCTTGCGATGAAAAACACGAGGCCCAAGGAGGACCACCTCAAGTGCATGCCCACAAATAAGGGAGTGCTGACAGGACATCAACATGGGGGAGGCTCTTAAGAGTTTTCCTGGGTAATAAGCACAAATGGGTACCCATCTGAAGACGATGTTCAGATGAACACAGCATGTCCCCATGGGAGGGTGACAGAAGGAATTGGGAGATCTGTCTGCAGTTTCAGGGCTCATTAGCATGAGAGAGACAATGTGGGATAACTCACATGACTGGAGTGCTGTCATACATGGATACAGGCTCTTTGGGAAGGCCAGGCATGGATAGCCAGAAGTTTCTGGCCCTTTCTGAATGGATGGAGCTCTGCCTTGGAATGGGCAATCAGCCACTCAAGACAGTGAGAGTCAGGTGTGAGAAGACCAGTGCGGACAACATGGTAGCTGCCTGCTGATCCTTCCTGATCAGCTAGAAAAATAAACTCCTTTTCAGAAAACTAATCTAACCAACTAATCTAACCAATTCATGTAATTCATTCCATCCTTCGCTTCTTTTCCACTGCTCAAACAATGCAGCACTAATCTTCAAGATTCAGTGTAAAGAAGCAGTGTGTGAAACCTAAGATAAAGCTTAAATGAGTGCACTTAAGCCTTTAGCAAAGGCCTACGTAGACTTCTGCTTACTCATCAGATTTTACTCTAATTTTAGAAGTTGACGTTAGGCTTAAAGTTTTTCTAACTTTAGGGTACTTAGCCTCTTAAATTACATGTTTGTGTCACTAATCATATTGGTATTTTCTTACTTTCAGAGGAGATAAGTAGTTATGACATAATGCTAATTACAGAAATGTAAATTTTGAAGTCCATCCCTACTCAAAACCAGATAATAATATACTGAGTCAAAATATATCAGAGAGAGTCTACATAAAATGTCACCTACTGGTAGACTTCCAAAAGCTTTATAACTTGCAGAACAGAATGGTGTGAAAATGCACTGTGGCCCAAAAATACCTTTAATGCAAGATACTGCCTTGTAAGTGGAACAATAGCCTTTTTGAGAAGGTTCTGAGTTAATGAGATAACATAATACTTACTTAGCTCTGATCACGTCACAATCCTTCTGGGAAAGTTCCTCCTGTTTGGCAGCTACCTGAGTTGACAAGTCACTGCACATACTGTTCAAATCTTTAACTTGTTCTCTTGCCTTTGCTAAATCAGTTTCCAAATCCTGCAAACAAAGCATTTGAAATATATTAAAGGCAAAGTACAAGAAAGTTAAAATCTACTACATGTGTCATCTACATGTATAGGCATATAGATGTGCACACACATGCATGCATGTTTATTGTGGTCTAAGCAAACATATATGCACGTATCTGCATGTGTACATATATGAAAAATGTGAAATACCAGGAAAAAAAAAAAGGTGTATTTCATATTTTAGGTGGCCATCTATTATTTATTGTAGGAAGTTTTCCTGTAAGAATTTTTCCTTAATTGATTTGTTGGTTGCATGTGGAAGGAGAATACTGAATCAAATCTTTGCAAATCAATAGTACACTATTTAACCACTAAACCAACTAAATTTTGTTTTCTGTGTAGAAATCAAGGAGAAAAAACCTACTCCTAACAAAAAGCAGCTATATATTCATTGTTTTAAGTTCTCAAAAAATTGCACAATATTGCACACATGAACTAAGAATCATGGACACAGATTCATTTTTGAGACCGCTTGTTAATTCTGCTCTGATTTTGCACTTCTAATTCAGTGCAAAGAATAGTTTCTTCAGGAAAACAAACAACACAGAAGAAAACTTCCGGACATGCTCTTTGAAAACAATGCAAACAAGCAAGAGTTTTGCCTTTTACAGTAACCCTTTACTGTAGAAGACAGTCAGCCAATGTGAAGGTGTATGTGGGAAATACAGCAGCAAGGCCGCTTCCTCAAGCAAGACTCCAGTCTCTATATAGGGACCTTACTGGAGTTCTCCAGAGGTTCATCAGCTTAGAAGAGTACCTCAGTCCTTCATGAGCTTCGTGTGACTATTCTTGCACAGTGTTTTGAGGCAATAATGGAAATGGAAATGTTACAGCAATATCTAGAGCAGAGTTTCAGAAGGTGGCAGTGGCCTTAGACCTGCTTTGGTATCACACTACAGAGGCACGATCACTTGTTCTCAGTAAGGTAAATAATCAAGGATTCACCAAAAACTGAAAATAAATACCTCCTAGTAGGATAGCATTCCTAATACACTGTCAACAATGTATTAGTTTACCTTCCATTTACATACAGACTTAAATAAATAAAGAAAAGCCTATTTTCCCCTTTCAGCAAAGATGACAAATATTGAAGGTATAAAAACATATTTATAGCTGAAAAGCAAATAATTAATTGTCTATTTAAAATAGCATAGAAATGTCTTATACATATCAGAAGTGGATATATCAGAAGTGTACTACATTCATATCCTTTTAAGACAGGAATTATCATGCCCTGTTAAGAACAGTAACATTAATATGAGGAAATAGCAAGATCCATTAATGAATGAGGTAGGAAAACTATTCGTTTCATGATAAATGTCAGACTATATACCTGAATAATAATTCATCAGTCAATCTCAAAGGATGCGTAGCAAAAATTATTTTTTCTCAGATAACAAAAGATTTCAGAATTATATGAGACACTTCATTCTATCAACACATGAAAATGTTGCAGTGTAAAAAAGGTATTTATAACTTGCAGACAAATAATCTTAGGGTTTTGCCTCTGTGATTTTTCTCCACATCAGCTTAAAGTTATTGTACATGTGAACAAAAATTTTAACATTTCACATTTTCTGTGAAGTAATCCTATCTGCCTATCTTTCACACCATGCAATAGAGTCGCAAGGTTTTTTTTTGTGGGAGAGTAAAAAAAATATCTGATCTTACCAATACTTAAGTTACCATCATGCATTCCAGGGTACCATACAAAGAATAGGCAACAAATGATTTTGTCATAAATACAATTTAGAAGTTATGCAACGGCAAAAATTTAAAACAGGAAAAAAAGTATCTTTAAGTACTTAACCCCATTTGTGACATATGCAACTTCAGATATTGATTTCAACTAGTAGATTCATCGGTTCAACCTTCTGAACCGACTTTAAAACCTTGACTTTTTTGGGCGGAAATCAGAAGCATTACTGAAAGGGCAAAACAGGAAAAGGGGACAAGAAGGGACTGATTACAAAAATAGCTTATAAACTGAAATATGAATATACTGAGGCATTTGGTAGAGCTTATGTTTGTAAGTCGGAAATCTAAGATTATGAAATAACCTATAATCTTTCACATTCACCTTCTCAGTATATCGATTTTTAAAATCACATAGAATATATTATGTTGCCTTTTAGTTGATATAGAAGCTGAGAAGGTAGTTTCTTTCCAAAAACATGCAGACTGAAAGTTTGTTAAATTCCTTAAACCTGATTTTCAAATAAAAGTAAGTTTCATTTGTACATACAAACTGTTTAGAATGCAGTTTTAAACATAATAAAGCAAAATAAGTGGTCTTTAAAATAAAGTCAAAATATCTAACAATTCAGTTATATAAGGAAGAAAACAGAAAAATAGAAGACACAGTAAAAGACACTTCTTTATAGTAGTATTTAAAGTGAAGCTCAAAAAATAAACCTAGTTATTTCTAGCCATGAAAAGTAGTGATCCTAATGAAATGAAGATAAATAGCAGAATAATTATTTACAGTAAATATTACAGAAATGTTTTGATTATTTCAAGCACAAGAAGTATAAATTTGGAAAAAACAGAAAAGCTGAATTTAAAACAATTTAAAACCTGAAAATCACAACACACAGAGAAGTCATGAGGCAGCACAGTTGTGCTTAGATTACGGACTCACTGTGAATGAACGCTAAGGTTTTGCTATTTGTAGCTTCAAACCCTTAGACACTTTCAAATACAGCAGTTTTGTTTTCCTGTTTTTTCTTGTTATGTATTACGACAGAAATCAGTATTTTTTCAATGTCCCATCTCAATAAAACCCTCATTTTTCAGTGGAACTAAAATCCCAAGCATCTTATGACAGAGATGGCTGTTTCTCAGAGTTTTTAATTTTAAAAAAAGAGAACAGCTCTCCCTGTTTCTTTAAAAGCTCCCACCTTCAGACATGACATTAACATTTACCATTTATTAGTAGTGACTTTTTTTGTGTCTATATAGAAAGCCTTTTGTGAATGCCCGACTTTGGAAAATACATATTTTTATTATTATGAAACAATAGCTTAAGTAACCTCCACCTGAAGAATAATAAAATAACTAAAACGCCTGGTTCATTCTTAAATATGGAGACACATCTATGCATAAGTGGCTGATTGACAGCTATTCCACTTGTGTACTTTTGGAAGACACAGAAAGCTGATATAAGCCTTGGGAAGCACAGAAAAGTAACCCTCAAGAACTACTTTAAGGCAGAAAGCAAAACCCTATGTTAGTTTTTTGTACAACGCACACTACCTATATGAAGGTATATATGGGGAAGACAAACAATAAAACACAATTGCCACCCTTTCAGCCACCTTATCAGATCTCTTCCTGCTAATCTGCCTCACTTGGATTTCACCTAATATAACAGATATTTGAAGAAATATTCCTCAAATGGAGAAGTCATTTTTAGAAAGTGACACTTTTCTGCACAGAGAATGGTTTAAAGACTTAAAAAAATTGGCCAGTAACAGTTAAGGCTCTGAACAGAGGGGCAACTTCTTCAAAAGAAGAATCTGTTATTTAGACCAAGCATTTCTATCACCTACTAAGCATTATAAAAACAGTGTTGGTGTATCTTACATTTTTAAGATTTCACTTTATTCTTTCACAGAGGTAGGAAATTAACATGAATAGTGTCTGTATAAACTGTCCTCTACAACAGCGTTAAATGTAGTGTTTATTACTGAAAAACAAAGAGAGATGCTGGTTCAACTCCCAGACTCATGGCTGAGAGGCAGAACCGACTTTCAGAACAGGATATAACTTCTGAATTCAAATTATTTTTATCTATAACCATTTTGACAATCACTTCAGAACAATACAACTCGATTGTTGAATTTGCTCATAAACTACTTCTTAAAAGATTTCAGGGACGTGTTACATTGAGGTGTATGTATTAAAACATCATCTGAAGCCCAATATCATGTAGTGCGATAATGTCATATTTGGCTTCTGTGAATAAGGAAATAATTATTCTTTATTGTTTATAAGCATCCTGTTAACAGCCAACCTGGCATCCAGTATTGATTCTTGAGTGCCAAAAAACAGAAATGAGGAATGTCAAGAGCAGAGGAAGAAAATAATTCTAACAGAAACTTAAATTTTCAAGCAAATATTTACAGGAAGAGTATATGTAAAAACAGTGATGAACTACAAAAATAACTGGCTGGTGAGGAACTGGGGAGGTCTCCAAGGCACAGCCCCTGCTTAAGCAGGTTGAGCCAGGGGGTCTGAGCAGACTGTTCAGGGATTTACAAAGTCAGGAGTTGAAACTTCCTAAGGATGGAGATGGTCCAACCTCCCTGGGCCCCACCCCCACTCCTGGGTTGTCCTCCTAGGGAAAAGGCTTCTTCTCAACAGCCTCAGCTTCTCCATTGTCATCTTGTGCTGCCTCATACACTTCTGTCACACAAAGCTGTGAAGAGCTTGGCTACACCTCCTCTATCCCCTCCTGTTGGTGCCAGTAATGCTGCTGGATGGCGCCAGTCCCAGAGCCATCCCTCCTCCTGGCTAAGCCAGATGGTCCCACAGGCTCTCCTCAAAAGGCAATGTCTCCAAGCCCTACTGTCTCCCCTCCAGACAGTTTACTGATATCTTTCTTGTATTCTATCCAAAGATCAGTGCAGTATCTACAGTAGTGAGCAGAGGAGGTCAATTCTGTCACAGCTCTTGGGGCCTGAGATCTTCATCTTCTCAGGATCTTGGTCTTCACAATTTCATGGTGACTACAGACAAAACTGTCTTAATCAGTTCTTCCTTGTTTGGGCACAGCAGATCCAGCTATATGTCATTTGTGCTTGGCTCAGGGAATACCCATCTCAAGAAATAAGCTCTGTCACATTCCAAACATCACCTTGACCTGCTTGTGACCCCACTCCGGAAAAACTGACACTTCTTATTCCCATCCCTGGAATCATGTGGCTGTGATGCATCTTTCTCTCTTGAGCATGTCTTATCAGTGAGAAGGATAGATACACTAAAAATCATTCTGTTTTCACTGAAGGTGTAGATAATGATTTTCACTAATTCATCCAATACTACAAGAACTACATTCAATAACTTGAAAATTACTTAATCAGTTTAGTAGACACCAGATTTTCTCCCCCAAGTATCAACAAACCATTCTTTCTCCTGGGAATCCTACAATCCTTTCATCATAACAACTAAAAAGGTGGTAATTTGCAAGAACTTTACTTCCCATGTTAACAGAGCTGAATGAAGCTCTTTACAAAGTGTTTCCATCAGCACAGAAGTGTCACCAAAACCACTGAACTGCGAATGGAGGAAAAAAGATGTTTCTGTGCATGATGTAATTAGTTACTGTATTGAATATAGCAGAAGGTCATGTAAAAGAGCACAGCATTCTAAGTGTTCATTTACCACATAAATAAAAAGAATCCACTAAACAGGTGTTTAGATAAGCATCCATCAAATGCTTTGATACCATGTTTGTGGCTTACTTCTTACAAGAATTTTAAAAGATCTTGTCAATTTTCACCAGCAAACAAGACAAAGTATCATTTAAATAAAAGACAGTATTCTGTACAGTGCATTTCCTTTTTCATTCTATCGTAACAGTGAACATATTTTTTTAATATATTATATGGAATACTAAGGCCTCTCAGAGTGGAGCCCTCTGGAGGCTAGGACACAATTTATTCCAAACTGCAGTTAAAGTTTTAAAGTGTTCAACCAAAACAACAAATATGGAGTCTAATGCAATCAAACTGTAGGTAAGTAAATTATACATTGTGAAAAAATTGTGAATGATAATACTTTTAAGATTTCATTATTTCACATATATATATTTTATCTTAAAATACAGTATCTTTCATTTTTTAATGATTACATTTTAAGATGACTATTTGAAGTCAGATTCCTGCTTCGCAACATCAATTTTTAAAAAGCTGTGGGTCTTAAGTGAAGGAATGTAAATGAATGCAAGTCCCCACTGGTAGATTTGAATACATAACTTGTTATTTAAAGAAAATAACTTGTGCAAATGTCTGGAGAAGTTAATTCTGAAATAACATCCAGTAGTCCATTCCACCTCATACCTTTATTCTGGCATCATTGTCATTTTTTTCTGTTTTCCATTGTGCCTCCAGCTTCCTCAGTTTCTCCAGGTCACTTCGTAGGTCAGCACAGCATGTATTTAATCTCTTATTTTCCTCCTCCAGGTTTTTTATAACCAGTCTGTTTTGCTCTTCCTTCCTTTGTGCACACTCCTTAGTGTCCTGTAGAACAGTACCACAAGGGCCGATAAACAAAAAAAGTGAGAACTAATCAGCAAATATAAACTGTGCAGTTTTACTCTCACAGCAGCTTCTTCTATATTTGATGGCCAAGGTCACCTGTGTACTTTTATTGGCCTCTTTCATGCAGGTGGAAGGGTCATATTTTTTAGCTGGATGACAGCTTTGATGAGTACACATTTGCAAACAGCCCATTAATTGATCAAGCTGCCTTTGATGCTGTCCCCAGCTATTTTTGAGACCCACACAGACATATCCTCCCAGACCTCAGCTTTATCAATTAATAATGCCAGTCCCATCAGAATCTAATTACAAGAAGCCACATCTTCACACTCCTACTTTCTTTGCTCCATTTCCATCATTAACTATTTATCTGAAAGTTATAAAGCATGGATTCTTGGCTTTAAAGCATCTTCCTTGGAGTTGGTATGTGAGAAAACGGTAAGGTATAGCAAGGCCTAAGGCAATTTTTTCTCCAAGCTTGTCACTTTCTGTGCCACAAAGGCTGACATTGCTTAAAGAACTACTTCAAAGCTACAGTCTTATGAAACTATGTACAAGTCAATATACCTTAAGTTCCTGGCTTTTATCTTTAAATTTCTGGTTCAAGCCACTGAATTCCTTCTTCAAACGGGTATTTCCCTTATCCACAGCATTTTTTTTCAGTAGTAGCTTGTTTATCTCCCAACGCTGTTCTGCAAATTTCTATTAAAAAAAAAAGTGTTAATAGACAAAAAGCAATTTTTTGTCTGTTAACATAAAGAACACACATGTGCTGCATTTTAGACCTCTGAAATGTAACAATCGATGTAGTTTTATAGCATTATTTTGATTTCATTAGTACTTTAATCATACTCCAAACAGCATGACTACGACACAGAAACATAAATGAAGAACTGAGTATCATGCTGTTACTAAACAAAAGAGCCCACTGATGCAGAAGTGAGTAGAAATTATTCAGCCAGGCTTAAAGAAAGACAGTCATTTGCAGAAGTTATATTTGTGATTACAAATTACGAATGCATTAGAATAGTTGGACTTCTAGCATACCAAAAATGTAGTCAAAAAGTACCGTTCAAAATTCTCCACAATTCATTAAGATAATGAAAAGTAACTATTAAGTAAGGCAACTGAAAAATATTATGATACGAAATAGTTGTAAAAAGGGAATTACGTCTAACAGAATTTGCAGCTCAATGAAAATAAGAAAGCTCTGTTCAAAACAGACAGTAGTTTAGTTTACACACAGAGAGTAAAATCTTAGTGCCATCAAGAAAAAACACTTCAACTTTCTGTTTTAAGATACTTGCATTCTATTCTTATGACATTTGTATTAAAAAGCACTGTCAAATGCATGTTAAAATTCTGTAATTTTCTTCAAGACTGTTTTAATTCCACATAGTTTTGTCCCTTCCCTTTCTAAATCAAAATGGCATTAACCTAAAACATTTTCCTAGCAGTGACACTGTAACTGTAGTTAACAAAAAGATGAGACTTATCTCAGGACAAAAATGCAACTGCTTTGCCTTTATTATACAAGTAAAATGAAGCATATTCAGAAACTTAGAAAGTTATTAATCAGGATAGGTGATTTAGTTTATTCTACAATACTGCTGATAATACACGAGGGTTTTCAACCTCCAGACTAGATAAATATGGTTCACATTTATGTCAGACATGAAAAAGAATGAAAATGTGCTGAGAAAAAACACGTAAAAAAAGACACTTGAAGTCACATCCAACAACTATTGATTTTCAACTTACATGTAACCATTCAGGTAAACACCGTAGCTATGTCACCACTCAAGTCCACTTAACTCTCAAGAAGAAACACGGGTATTGCAGGTAGAGCAACCCTGGGTACACAGCAAGCTGTGGAGGGGTGAGCAGGGTTTGCTCCACGTGCTGAACGGTGTCAGCACACTGGCACCTAGAGCACCCACACTGCACAAGGGAGCTGTTCACAAAGCGATGGCCGCAGAAGGACGGCGCAGTTTTCTGAGCCTGAGCACCAGTTTGAATACCAGCTTCTCCTCAAGATCCGCACACCCTTCTGCCTAGTCTGCACACACAATTACCGAGCACAAAGTTAAACTTCTCTGCCTTTTCCACTGCAATATTTGACAATTAGCTCCACAAACTAAAACTTTCAGTATGACTGGAGTTAAATCATATAAAAAGCATTAATTTCACATATTTGATTATAAGACTAAGGTTGGCAGAAGTAATTTCTTTATCAGGTATTATTTAAACCACTAGTGAGAAAGTGTGATTAAGGCATGTGAAAAATATATTTGAAGATTAATTTCATTGTACATTTGTGTATTAAGCAAATGTCTTAGTCATCAAAAATATACATTACTTTGTGTGGATTGTATCTTTCCCTTGTTTGTTTATTTTTTTACTTTTTAACAGAGGCTTTTGCTGTAACTTTTTCCAAATTACTTTGAATATCTGCCTCTTCTGTATAGCTCTTCATTCTTTCTACACATCACATTGTCACCTTCCTTGCAAATATTTTTGTTGTTCTCTTTCTTCTCCTACCGCCATCTCCAAATCTTTTGTATACATTGTTCCTACATATTTAGTAAATTTATTTTAGCCCTCTGACCACTACTTTTATCCACACAATGTAACCAATATGGTACCATTCCTTGTAAAATTAAAAAAAAAAAATCAAAAAAAACCCCCACCATACTACATAGCAGAAACTATGCCCAAGCAAGAACAAACCCTGCAATCAATCCAGTGTATGTGATATGTAATGTAATCCAGCCAACCTGCATAGCAAATACTGAAAATAAACAACCATGAATAGATAATATTCAGTAAAGAGGGTAGGGAGGCATGAAGGTTATTTTTTTTTCTGCACTAAAACCTTCATTTAATAAATTTTTTTTTAAAAAGACCTCATACTCTATAGCAGCTACAGTACAATTCAAAGAATATATGTAATTATGTACTTTCTAACAGTAGGCTTTAAAAACAAGGAAATAAAGTGAATGTGAATTGAAATGAATGGAAAAAATAGAATAAAAGTTGAGAAAAAATGAAAGAAAATCTAAAAACTTCATATTCTCATATCTTGGATTTTTGCCTCAGATGTCATTAATTCCAATCAACCAAGCAGACAAAAAAAAAAAGAGGAAAGCCACTAAAAAGAGAACTAGCTTGTATTTAAAAGTGTTTAATTGGTAACTTAATAGTCAAATTAATTTAATAGATAATTAAATAGTTCAAAGTTATAGCATACCTGTTTATTTTTTAAAATATAACCAACTCCCCACAGAGACTCATTCTACAACACTGGCATTTTCTACAGACTCCAGTCAAAGTTTGCCTAAGATTAAAGCTTCATAATCATTCTTCTATTTCTTCCAAAGAAAAACTAAAACTGAATTTCAGATTCAGAAATTCATATGATATTTTTCGCAGAGACATAACCCAGTGCATAAACCTTCTCAGCCTCATTTGTTATCAGCAGACGTTAAGGAAGGGATAATGAAATTAAACCTCCTCTTAACTAAGGACTCCCCTCTTTCATATTTTGAACCTACCAGACACAAGGCTCAATTTTCACTATTCTAAATGTGAAATATTTGCTCTTCAGATATATTATTACAGTTGCAGGAACAAATTGTTGCTGGCAGAGACTATTTAGTTGCGTCTTTAAAAAGGTATGAATCCACATTACCACAGAAAGCATTAGTTATTTTCTTTGCCTCCCTCCCTCTCATTCCCCAGGTCCTCATAGAATTTGAGTAAGCATCTCCTTTGAGTCTTCCTTCCAGCTCATTACTACTTGTTTAACATTTATCAAGACAAAGCCTGTATTTGAAGAACAAACTTAGAAATTCTACCTATCTGAAGGAGCCTGGTGGCTCTAACAGTTTAAAATTCAAATACGTGCTTTCACAAAACCTCAAAGTGCAGCTCCAGCTCCTTAAGGCTTCTAATTTTTGAGTACACAGGCTGCATTGTTTGACTGCTTATTCTCATTACACACTTCACTGAAACTGATAAGCACATATGTATTGTCAAGTAAAATCAATGATCTTTGGTCCTGTTTGGAATGGGATGTTTTCCAGCAATTTGGAGGATGAATTAAGACATGAAGGTACAAAAGTTCAACTAGCTGTTTCAAATGTTTGTTCCATATTGCTGAGATGAGATTTTAAATTCAAATAAGCTATTTACTTGGCATACTCTTCACGACAATCAGACAGATAATCCTGAATCAAATTTGGACACTCATTACTTATCCCCTCAACTGACCCACTTAGGACTTCAAAACAATCAAAAATCAAATATGCCATATCAATCATTAAGCATCAAACTCACTCAAGTAGTCTACAAAGTCATCTACTGCAGCAGCATTGAAACATTATTTAGGTAAGCTACACCTGTATGGAAAAGATCCTGTTATGCTTTGAAGTATTTTTCTTGGGTACAACTTTGATTGGTTCTATCTTTTCCTCTAAATGAATTGCACTTTTACTCTCAAATCTACTCATTTCACATGCTTATAAAGAGGGAAAATAAAAAAACCAAAAACAAAACCCAAAAATAACAAAACACTAAACCCAGCAGTATTACTCGAGAACCATGACTGAGTAGAAATCAGGGCCATAAAGAACTTCTGAGATACAGACAATTAAGTAAATTATCATCTGCCTTTGTGCTGCTGGTTTTTTGCACTTTGCTTCCTCTACTTACAAATTATATTGTATAATAGGAAGAAAAGAGTAAAGACTGATTTCTTAGAGCAGAGAATACAAGCAGTGTTCCTACAAGACTACCTACTGTATTAGGCAAGTGAAACAGCAGGATAAAAACATACCTGATCAACACATGGGAAAACCTCCTACATGAGGTTATTTTGACAGACTTCACCAGATAAAAACACTCAATCAGGAAAGAGTTCATCTATTCCCATACTATCTATTGGTTTTGCCTAGATACCATAAAAGACAGGCTAAGGCTACACAAGAACAATCTCACCTTCCATTTTGCATTGACTGAAGCTGTACTTGTTTGAACATAGCAGCACAAAAGCAACGTTCAATGGGCTTTTGACAGCTTGGTGCTCAGTAATTAAAAAAAAACACCTCACATAACTAAGAGAACTAGAGTCCACTTCAAATGGTTTTCCATAAACAAACTTCCAAATATAAGAAAGTCAGCTGCATTCTAGAAGTGAATTTGCTCTAATGAAAACCAAAGGAATCTGATTTTATCCTTTTGTTTAGCTGGGAAGAATCAAAGAGTATCCCTTGTATACTGCTGGAGCCCAGAATGCTCCAGGCAACAGTACATACAAAGAAAGAAAACACTGTGACCTGGTGGAGCAGGTCTTTTGATGTTTAAGAGGAGTGTCATTCCAGAGTTCATTTTTATCCTTTCACAAGGAATCTCTAGCTACAACTTTTTTTCTTCTTCCCTAATAATATCAAATTGTTTACTGGCAAAAACTACTTTCATATCAATCTGTAGAGGAAGCAAAATCACATGCTAAGTCAAACGAAGAAAACAAGTTACAAAAACCACAGATCAAAACTGAAGGGAGAAAACAGTCCTTTTGCATCTTTGCTCTGTACATTTCAGAGTCTTTTCAAGGCAGTAGGATGTTATAATTATCTGTAAATATTTCATGTGAATAGATACACAAAAAGTCTTTTAATTAATCTTTATTTTTATCCAATGTGAATTTAGATGGCATACTGTCGCATGAAGACAGTGAAAGTGGCAACGAAACCACAACTCTTTAATGCTAGGAGTCTGTTTCCAAGAAGAATATGAGTTAGGATACAGCTACTAGGAGTTAAGGACTGTTTGATGTTGCACTCATCATCACTGAACTTCTTCTAGCCTTCAGTGAAAGGTTTTTTAATCTGCTACAGATAAAGCTCACAATAAGGACTATGGAACAACAGCTGTGCATCCTATTACATCATTAGGTGTTCTCCACAAATTTTTACATTTTTGGGATGAGGGGAACAAAAAAACCCCACACTCATAGTTCCACAGTTTGAAATTTGATGAGACTGCATTACTGAATCAGTATTGCGTATCTGACTCTATATAGGTTGATAAAACATAGATAGGGGTTTTTTTCATGTCAAGAAGTTAACTTAAATACCTACTTGATAGTTTATTCAAGATATCCCTAAAAATCATTCTAGCAGAAATGCAAAGCTGACACATATTTCCTTCATTGATGCTGCTAACAATACAGAAATGCAAGAATGCACCTTGTTTCTGTCACTGGCTGCTAAAGCACTTCACAAAACCCCTCAAGTCTCTGCACGACAGC